CGCTGTAACCACCAGGGTTATTAGCGACCTAAATGTATAATACAGGTAAAGTTAGAAAAAAATTACCATAATTGATACAGTCCTGAGTCTTTAAGATAACTTATTGTGTTTTTAATGTTCATGGTTTTTCCTAGGGCTTCCTTTATATTATTTGGTGTGCTTCTTTCTTGCTGCTTCATATTTTTTGCACTGAGTTAGTACCTATATGCTTCACGGAGAGTCTTACTTGACACGTTTCACACATTGGCGGAACAGTTCGCGTAAAGAGGTGTTTATGTGTAAAGTTACTGTATCCTAGTCGCAAACGTGTTATTTTCACTTGGTCGTGTCTATTCTCTGTGGGTTGGAGCCACGGTTTCACTAATTGTTTGATTTCTTTGAGTTTATTTTGTGATGCACTCCATTTATTTTGCCACGCACTTAACACTTTATGTTTTATTTCTGACTTAAAGTCATCTGAAGAAACCTCATTAATAAGAATGGAGTCCTGGCTGCAGGATGCTAAGCGGGCTAGTTCATCTGCTTCTTCATTTCCTTGTATACCTGAATGTGATGGTCAACAGTGATCTTATTATTATTTAGAATCTCTATTTCTGATTTGATATGTGAGGAAATTGGATTATTGGTATATAAACGTTTGATAGTGTGAAGTGAGCTTAGTGAATCGGTTATTATGAGAGACGGGGACTGTTTCGGTTCTTTTATGTGGATAAGTGCTTGTAATATTGCAAACAACTCCGCAGCATATGACGAAGGATGACGATTTTAAGGATGTATTGGGTGTAAGGATGGCTGCACCAACACCGTCTGAAGATTTGGATGCGTCAGTGTATATCTTATAGTGATTTTTATAAGTTTCCATTTCTGTTAAGAATGCTTGTTTGATCAGGTCTGTTATAGTCTCACGTTTTTTTATATATACTAAGGTTAGTATTAATCTTGGGAATTGGTATTAACCAAGGTGGAGAAGTTAGGAAATTTGTTGGGAGAATTTCAGGAAATTTAAGATGTAGGTCATGAAGGTTTCTTCTAACTCTTTCGTAAAATGGTGGATCTAGTCTTCTTGTAGAGAAAGTGTCTTGAAATCGATCTGTGAATGTATTGGTATAAGTAGGATGTTCTTTATTACTAGCTATTTTAGAAGCATATGAGAGAGAAAGGTATTTGCGTCGTAAACTTAGTGGTGGTTCTCCTGTTAAGCATTGTAAACTTTTAACTGGTGTCGTTCGAAATGCACCTATAGCTATTCGTAAAGCTATATTTTAAACAGTTTCTAATGTTTTCAATACTGATACTTTGCTTGATGAATAAACTATCGCACCATAGTCGAGTTTGCATCTGTATTTTGATCTGCTCCCCAGTTTTTGCTGGAAATAGTTTTCATAAAATTTAGTCCTGCTTGGCATGATTTTTTAAGTTCTTCTGTATGTTTTTTCCAGGAGAGCTTTTGGTCGAAAACCATACCTAAAAATCTGATATTGTTTGTGAAACTAAGTGTTTGATTATATAGCTTTAGATGTGGAATTAGAGTGTTATGTTTTCGTGTAAATAAAATACATTTAGTTTTTGTCGGTGAAAATTGTAATCCGATAGTCCTAGACCATGATTCTAACTGATTGTTTGTTGTAAATGTTTTTAAATAGATGTAGACTTTTTTTCCTTTGGCAAGTAAAACTAAGTCATCAGCGTATAATCTTTCTTTAACAATCTGTGAGCATTGTTGAAGTATGTCGTTTATGGCTATTAGAAAAAGGGTTGAGCTTATAACTGATCCTTGTGGTACTCCGTTCTTTTGAACTTTTTTATCTGAGTTAGCGTTGTCTGATCGAACTATGAAGCTGCGAGAATGCAGAAAATTCAAAATAAATTTTAACATATTGCCTCTGATATTCCAATTATGTAATTTTGATATGATATTGTATCGCCAGACAGTATCATAAGTTTTAATAATATAAAAAAAAAACTGCGATACAATCTTGCTTATTTGCAAATGCTTCATGTATTCCTGACTCTAAGTCTATTAGGTTATCTAAAGTGAGAGATAATTAGGATGTAATTCCTCAGATTTTTAATAATATAATGGGTATAGATGCCGGCTTTGGCCACGTGCCTCGTCTGTTCAGTTTATATTCGAAACTTAGCTTGAAAGGGTGAAGTTATTACGAACTAAAACAATTTTTTTTGTTTAGTACGTTTTTGATCGCATGTAATTTACGGCTCATCGGTGTTTCCGCGTCTACGGCAGTAATTAGCGTCTCGAATATTTCTTTTGCGAATTATATGCAGTGCGTGAGTGATTTTTTATTCCATATACCTACGAACATATACGTACCTTTCGCTCGTGCTCGTTTTGTTGGATTGTTTGTGATGGCTTCATCGTCAACATAATCAAGTTTTACACCGGTACTGTTGCGTACAGTCAGTAAGTCTGTTTATTCACCAAGAGAGAAGACTATTGTCCTGAATGTTCACGATCCTCTGGTTTCTCAGAATCCCACAAACACTGTACGCAACATAGTCGAAAGTTGTGCCAACATGATTGGCGTAGGGGAGTCAACTATATATATATATATATATATATATATATATATATATATATATATATATATATATTATATATATATATATATATATATATATATATATATAATATATATATATATATATATATATATAATATATATATAGATTCTTATCAGAAAGAAAAAAACACGGTATAGCTAACCCAAACACAAACGAACACTTAAAGAGAAGGAAAAAGCCTATTGAAATTTATGAATTTGCCAAAAATGATATTTGAAGGAAAATTCATGGATTTTTTTTTTCAAAAAAGAAATACCAAACCTAAACAAAATTTTACAAGAAGTTAGAGACTTGCCTCATATCGGACGAACTAAATTGTGGCAAGTTTTAAAAGAATTAAATTTCCGGTGGGAGATATCAGACCGAAAATCACTTTTGATTGACCGGGAGGAGATACGTGGGTAAACTCAGACCTTACTCTAAAAAAAAAAATTGGTTAGATAAAAATATATTAAGCTCCAGGCAAGCCTTAATGGAAGGTTGTGCTACTGATATCTACCCACCTTCTGGTAAAGGCAGTAGATTAATAATTTCTCACATTGGCAATGAAAAAGGATTTGTTAAGCATGGTTTGTTGGAATTTCAGTCCAAAAGCACAAAAGACTATCACAAGGAGATGACAGCTAATGTTTTCGAAGAGTATTTTGAGCAGATGATTGAACACATACCACCAAATTCAATTATAGTATTAGATAATGCACCTTATAATTCACGACTAGTAGAAAGACTTCCAACGACTGCGTAGAAGAAACAGGATATTCTTGACTGGCTGCGGAATAAGTATCTGCCTTACAAAGATGGAAAGGTAAAAGCAGAACATTTAAAACACAAATCTAAGTTCAAGAAATACATAGTAGACAAAATGGCGGAAAGGCGAAACATCACAGTCCTTAGACTTCCACCCTACCACTGCGAAATAAATCCAATTGAACTCATTTGGGCACAAATGAAAAGTTATGTGGCTAGAAAAATACGTCATATAAAATACAAGCTGTACGTGAATTGTTATACGAGTCTTTACAATATATTACAGATCAAAACTGGAAAGATGCAGTAAGACATGTAATAGAAGAATAACAAAAATGTGGGATCTTGATACCATAATTGATGCGACAGCAGAGACATATTCGCTATTTATTAACCCTCAAGACGACTCGGATTCCGAAGTTGATCCTATTTATTTTGAATTTGAATAGTTTTCTAATCGTAATTATAATATAAGGTAAGTAATAGTAGTTGTAATCGTAGGGTATTAAAGGGGGAATGCGCAAAATGTCTCCTGTCAAAATGTTCAATGTGTTTTAAATGTATCCATTTTTTTTTCAAATCCTGAGAAAACTAAAAAGCATTTTTGAAAAATTTAAAGGCAGAATGAAATATTTATTAGAATAAATAAAATAAATAAAAAGTTCCTTTTGCATGCAATATTTTCAATTAAAAATTATACTATATTTTCTCTTTTATTTTCACCCCTGATACATAACATATTAAAATAAAGATTATAGAAATTTTCAGGGACTTTCTGCCCTCAGTAATAATGTAATCTTTCATTCTGCGTTTAAATTTTTCAAAAACATTTATTAGTTTTCTCTGGATTCGAAAATAATGGATACATTTAAAACACATTGAAAATTTTGCCATTCGACATTTGGCGCCTTTCCCCTTAATTAAATAAATATATTTTTTACAAATGGCAAGAAACTTTTTATTTTTGAATAAAATAAAGAAATTTTATTAAAACAAAAATACAATTTAAAAATACATTTATTTAGTTCAAATAAATGTTTCAATCATATACTCTACGACACTGGTCGGTCATCTGTTACCAAAATATCTTCGTAATCGGATTATAAGGTTGACAGCTGTATTGTATTCCTGCAGATACAAGGTGGGTTAGTCGAAAAAATCTTAAGCTGTCAGTTTCAGGTTGGTTTTTACTATTATATCGTATTACCTATCCTCTCTGTATTTCAGTTCTCTAATTAGGATTAAACTTGTAGTGAGCTATCGACAAATTCTGAACCGAGTATAAGTAGGTACCTACTTAAAGTTAAATATCTGTATATTCTTACAGTATATCGTTATAACATAACGATAACGTCAAGCACTTGAGGTACATAACAACTTAAGTCATGCCTATAAATCTGCAAAACTGAATATTATATCAGTAGTACTTTTTCACATAAGTCAACTTATGTTCCTTATAACGTCTAAAGATTTATAGGAATTGAAAGATTGAAAAAGTACCCTATTTAAAATCAATGTGAAATAAACGTCTGTGACTTATGTGCTTAAGTCAGTCGGTGGAGAAAAAATATATGGACATATGCATGTTAAAAAAGAAAAAATGGTTTTTTTGACTTATGTTTTTAGTTTGCCGGCCCTAGATAATATACTTACTTTTTTTATTGAAGGTTGAATCGTCACCATATCACCAACAGCATGGTTCTGATTTGGGAAGTGGTACACTGGAGGTACCTGCTCCTAATGCCTCGGTGGCTCAACGTTCATTATCACCATCCAGTGCCGTATCAGCTGAAACGATCAGCTATAGTTTGGGGTCTTCCAGGGCAAATTCCTTACCGCGCCCCACAAGTCCATCGCCTTCTCTTGCCTCAGAGAAAACCGAGGTAGATATACAAGAAAAACAAGAACGTGAAGAAGAAGAGCGGAAAAGAAGAATACAACTCTATGTTTTTATATCAAGATGTATAGCTTATCCTTTTAATGCAAAGCAGCCTACTGATATGACTAGGCGACAAACAAAAATAACAAAGCAGCAGTTAGAAAGTATCATCAATCGGTTTCAAGTAAGTTATTTGTAAAATATTGAGAATATCTTCTTCTTCTTTTAGGAATCATCTTGTTTAAATATTTGTGATCAAATTCTTATTCTTGGTCGAGTACCTTCTCATAGGTCGACAACAATTTTGGCCAGTTTTTCTTTGTCTTCGCTCTTCCTCAGCAAAACTTTCACGCGCAAGCCTGTCCAATCTCGTATGTTCTTAGACCAGGATCGTTGTCTACGTTCTGGTCCTCATCTAACTTCTATTTTACCCTCTACTATGAGTTAAATAAACTGGTGTCTATTATGTCTCATTACATGACCAAAATATGCAGTTTTTCGCTTTTTATAGATTTCGATCAGCTCACTTTTTCTACTTATTTGACGCAAAAGTGTCATGGTTGGTGGGTAGTCCAAAGTATTCGCAACATACATCCCTTCAATATCACAGGGAGCAGTGATATCGGTCTGTATGACGAAATAGCAAGTACTGGTTGTCCTGGTTTAGCAATAATAATAACTTCGGACATTTTCCATGTCATTGATACATATTTTATTCTGAATGCAGCATTAATTAGGTATGTTAGTTTTACGATAGTTTTTTTGGGAAGATCTATCAGCAGTTTTTTTGTAATTAAATCATATCCCGGAGCTTTCTTTGGGTTAATATTCTTTTTTATTTCTGCAAGCACTTCTTTTGGTGTAGTTAGTCGAATTTCTTCTTCTAATTAAACATGTTCCTCCAATCTTTCCTTATCCTCTTGACAAGCTACAGTTTGAATGTATTTTCAAAATATCTCTGCTTTTTGTGCAGTACTTCTGGCATAATTTCCATTTTCGAATTTAATAGGCGGAGAGTGGATAATAGGCCTTTTTGTCTTTTAGTAGCTTCCCATAAGGAGTAATCAGTGCTACCGTCATGTGTTAACTTCTGTAAATAAGGAATAATTAAATCGTTTTTTAGTTGTAGGATAGTCCTTTTGAGTTGTTGATTTGCACGATTTAGTTTAGTCTTATCTTAAGGATAAGGTTTTTTTGCCAAATTTTTGCCAGCTTTCTTTTCTCAGTTACTTTGTTTCTTAGTTCCTTTGGAAAATTGATTCCTTCTAACCTAGGTTACAATGCAGGACTGTTTTCTCATGTTCCTTGCTGAATATTATTCACCAACAATGCTGCTTCTTGATCTAGTTGCTCTGCCTTTCGTAAGGGAACTCTAAGATTTATTTTCTCTCCATGGCTCAGCTTAAAACTGGCTAAAAAATTAAAAAAAAAAAAAACAGTCGTTTGATCAATTTTTCGCGTCGGTGACATATTGAACCTTATTTTGGGGTATCTTGTAAGAGTTATTATGTAAAAAAATCTCATGGGAATATTTTTTCGAGCGAACCCAAGCTTTTCGCATTGTATATGCGTAGTTCCATTAAATCTAATATCTCCTGAGTCATCCACGAATTATGTTTGTTTTTTTGTTTTATGTAATTGTATATTCTAATGCATCCGAAATTACACTTTTAAGCAGACTCCAAGTGTGCTCGTTGCTTTTTATAATACTGCTTCTGTATTTTTTTGATTCTAAAACATAGCGCGATATATCAATCTGATTTCTAACTGGATAGTCTTGTGTATCTTGGAGATATCTCCATGTATAAAGGGGTCTTAAGGATAGTTTCAACTACGTGTTAGAGATTAACATTTTCTTCTTTTGGCAGACTTAGCTTAAGGTATCGCCTCTTTTCTTAGCTTCATCGATTTTGTGACTACTCAGTGTATCTTTAAAAATCCCATTTTTCGTTGGAATCTTCATTATCAATGATTATTGTTTTGGGTCCTCCTTTTATATTTGGGTGTTTTAGCAGAGTGCTTATTTGTTGTGTCTTTTTTTAATTTTTTATTTTCTTTTTACGATTACTGGATTGTGGTCTGATGACAAATATGTTCCTGAATATGTCTTTGCCGATTTGATGGAGTTACGGTATCTCTTGATACCGTACGGTATTGATAAGGATATAATCTATCTGGTTTCTGATAATTTTTTCTTTGCTATCCATAGATGACTTCCATGTATATAATCTACATAGTGGTAACTGAAAGAATGTATTTGTCGCTATCATTTTAAACTCCTGACAGAATTCCGTCAGTCTTTCCCCTCTTTCGTTCCTTATTCCTAGTCCGAATTTACCAATAATGTCTTGGAATTTACCTTTTCCTAATTTGTCATTAAAATCCCTCATTGTTTCTGCTATATCTCTAATATTGATGCTGTCTAGTGCTTTTTAAATGTCATTGTAGAACTCTTCCATTTCGTTTGGGCTGTAATCATTAACACTCTATCCGATATAGGAACAAAACAAGTTACAGCCTGGCAAAACCTGCGGTCAACCACTATCGCGACGCCATTATAGTGGTGAATATCTTCATTTCCTGAGTAGTATATTTTGACACCGTCGACTTCGATTTCGCCAGATCTAGGCCATCTGGTCTCGCTTAGTCCCATTATATTGACTTTAAGTCGCCTCATCTCATGTATTACATTGTGTATCTTCCCTGCTTCATATACAGACTTTACATTCTAGGTACCTATCTGCAGTTCGTTTATATTTTTGTGCCTGACGCGGCATGTTGGCGACCTAGGAGGCCCCTCGGTCTAACTGAGAATTGCCTCCCCTGCCGGATCTTGGTATCCTATGTACATGATCAGTAGTTGTAAAATTGTCATTAATAATAGCCATGATAATTGACAAGAGATATCTATTTAAAGATCTTTAATGTAGTGGTTTCTCGTTGCCTTCTACATCATTCTGCCGTTGACCACTTGAGAGATTGCTTATACCGACAATCACTCGGTCCCTATCTGCATTGGCCATCTATAGATAAATGTTGCTTATCTTCTACCACGTGGAGGTTACAGATTTGGATGTTTCTTTCATTTGGATTAAGACCTTTCGGCATTTTCTAATTCCTCCAGAGCTTTAGAAGATATACCTCGATACAGATTACCAATCTGTAGCTAGGTAATTTGGATGTTGTGAAGTCAATAAACTTTCTTAGAAATCTGCAAAATTAATATGTTAGTTTGGTTAATTGATTCAGTTTTAATCTTCTTAAGGACTAATTTAAATGGATATGGACCTGATACTGGCTGTTGTGCTTGTTTTAGAGTTTTTTGAAGGGAGAAACGCAAATTATGGCAGATGAAGCCTTTCAAAACGCTGTACAGAATTATCACGATGTGTTCTTGAAATCCGAAAGGGTTGTAAAAATGGTACAATCTGGTGCCTGTTCACAATATGACTTCAGAGAAGTTTTTAGGAATAACATAGAAAAACGAGTTAGGTAAGTTCAGTATACTCATATATTTTACTCCTTTGGTTATTATATTGTTTTATTTTTTTACGGTTAGGTGCATAAAAACAACCACTTTAACATGGTAACAAATTTTTATAGCCAATAACTTTTCTCTTTAAAAGTCAATTTTGATAATTTATTGGACAAGTAGAAGTGAATTAATTTACATTATTCATATTTTCGAATAGGTCGGATATATAAATATGATGTTAATAAATATAAATAACAAACGAGGAAGAGGTTTATAAGCACAAAAAATAAGGAAAGGAAAATCAGCTGGATCAGATACTATTCCTGGGGAAGTGTGTAGAGCATTAGGAGAGACAGGAACAAGATGCCTAACAGGTTTATTTAATAGAATTATGGAAGTTGGATAGTTTCCAGATGAATGGACAAGCAGTACCTGTTTATAAAAACAAGGGAGATATACAACAAAGTACAAATAACAGGCCAATAAAACTACTTAGTCACACTATAAAAATATAGGAGAGAGTAACTGATAGACGAATAAGTTAAGAAACTGAAATATCTGATTGTCATTTTGGCTTTATGCAAGGCAGATCAATAACAGATGTAATTTTCATTATAAGGCAGCTGATGAAAAAAAGCAGGAATAAAGAAACAACCGCTCATATAGTACTTATTGACCTTGAGAAAGCATATGATATAATTTCGCGGGACTATTTGCTTTGGAAAGCCACAAAGCTACCGATCAGGCCTATTCTACAAAATCCACCAATCAGATATGCAGATGGACTTGGGCTCTAAAGAATATTTAAAAAGCAAAACGATTTGCAAAACATTTACACGCGACTTTGACGTCCTGATTTTAGAAGTACTAAAACAACTACCAAAAATGGAGTACTTAAAGTTACTATTCTTATCAATGCATCATTTCGGTTGAAATAAGGATGTGGAAAGAGGTAATTATGATCCTTAAACCAGAAAAATCACACACGAAGGTTCATCGCAGAGACCCATTTCATTAATTCCTGTCATTTCGAAACTTAATGAAAAACAGCTGCTTAAAAGATTAAAACTAGTTATAGAAGATAAGCATTTGATCCCCACCCATCAGTTTGGTTTTAGGGAGAGTCATTCGACAATAGACCAAGTTTATCGCATTACTATTATCGAAAAAAATCTTTAGAAGTAAGAAAAGTGTGTTTCACTGTCTTCTTGGATATGGCCCGGGCCTTCGACAAAGTTTAGCATAAGGTACTATTCTACAAATTGGAAGTGTTACCGACTCAGCAATATTTTAAATTTTGAACTCTTATCTGACAGACATGTTACATTTAATCCAATCTGCTATATGGTGTAGAAACCTGGACCATAAAAGCCAATATGATGAACCGATTTTAGGCCTTTGCAATGTGGGTAATTAGAAGACTACTTAAAATTCCCTGGACAAATCACACAACAAATGTCGAAGTATTAAATCGAATGGGCAGAGAACAAGAATTGCTGCCAATAATAAAAAGAAGAAAAACTGCTAATCTGGGTCATATATTTCGAAATTCCAAGTATCAGTTCTTAAAGCTTATTATGGAAGGGAAGATAGAAGGAAAACGGGGTATTGGAGGAAAAAAAAAATACTCATGGCTTAAAAACATAAGGGATTGGAAAAACCTCGATGCCCATGCAATCTTTAGAGCCACACAAGATCGAGAGAAGTATTCCAGAATTGTAGCCAACATCCACTAATTCGATAGAGCACCATAAGAAGAAGATTTGACAGACAGGTACTTTAGAAGTACAATAGAAGTACCTGAGATATCTTAATTCTTCTTCAAAATTATTGGTATTATGCATACATTAAAATTGCCTTTGACAAAACTATCTTAAACTTCCTCATATACAGAATTCCTCAAGTGGCGGCCAAGTTTCTATAAGCGATTAACGACATGTACAACCTGGTTCAACCAACAGTAGCGTATACTATCTACGCAGATGATCTTACCTTTTATTGGACAGGAAAAGTGATGTCAACTGCCTATAAGTTTTTTCAAAATGCAACAAATACTTTATCTATATGTACTACTACAACCGATTTTTCCAAACTTCAAAATTATATAGAAAAACTAGACGTGTTCGATAGTCTTGTTCGACGAGAAAGTAAGTCTATAACGCCTATAAAAGGTAAATAAGGAACAACGTGATTGACTAATATATCAATAATGTATCTTTATGCTATCATTGCTTCATCTTAAAACAATACCAGCTTAGTACGACCTTCATAGAAATAAAAAATCTAATTTGAAAATATGCACATGGAATATAAGAAGTATATTTGCGGCTGGAAAACTTAACGATGCAATTTAAGAAATAAAAAAAAAAAATAAAAATAGATCTACTGGGAACCAGCGAATTGAGATAACCAGAGTAAAGCACTTGTAGAATGCTTGGTTATGGTTATACTAGATCGAGACAGGACCCATTTATGAGCCCTTCAGAAACCTAGACCACCTAAGACGGATCCATTGTATCACCCGTATCATACAGAATAGACCCATAAGAACCTATCCTTCGGCGTTTCTGGAGCCCAGGCTGTTCTGGGCTCCCATATCTGCAGTAATCAGCAGGGGATCCAAGTCTGACTCCTACCTACCGTTCTGAACGTCTAATTATTTAGTAGCCTTGTAGCCTCATAGAAAGCCCCAAGTATCTTTAAGGATAACTCCCTCATTTGGCTAGGTTGCATAAAGATCGAATTCAGGTCTGCCTGGTAGGCACGTCGGGCACTTTCCGAGGACAGGTGAGGAGGTTTCCTCCTCCTCATTACAAAGATTGTAAAGTGGGCTAAGAAGCTTCTATGGTCTAGGAGGAGAAGTTGGGCTGTAAGACTTTTGGATGGCCCCATTATGTGGAGCCTAGCCTGTCTCATACCTCCACAACTGGTAGCTACTAATATAAACCTACTATGGCTTATGGGTAATATATTTGAAATAAAAAAGAAGCAATTTTGCAATAAATATTACGTTTTTTAATTTTGACCTTCATTCGTCTCAAAAATCTTCGTCTCATTTTGACTCAAAAAATACGTATGTTGCACCTATAAACGCTCATAAATAAACAATAACCAAACATTTTTTATTGAATGCACTGGGGGATTGCTCCTGAGGTTGCCCTTTATAACCTAGGCCACATTATATAAATTGCTGGATTAGAGAGTACTTTTCCCCCCACAGCCTGGGCTAATTTGACTGCCCTAAATATTGAGAATTTATATAAAATGACACTTCTTCTACTTGTACAACAAATTATATAAATAAAATATAATAGTTATAATAATAAAAATAAAATAGTTATTTAGGACCAAAATTTATTAATATTATAATGCGGTTTTTATGCACTTTTTTATGTTTACCAAATTGTGACATTTAAAATGCAACCTGTAATATACTGATAAAAATTATTTATTATGATACTAGGAATTTTACAAATGTTTCATATGTTTATTCTGTTTCTCGCTTTAAAAGCATTGATTACTATGTCTCCAGAAAGAAGACGAGCTAATTTTAATCAATTAAGTGAATTTGAATGAAGTAGGATTACAGAGTTGAGGAAGCTGGAAATTTCCTTCGGGAAATTGGCAATAGGATTGGTAGAAATAAAACCACGATATTTCAAGCTTGGAGTAATTGGGCCCTGGTCTCGGAGAACAGACATTAACGTAGTAGATGGTGATGTCCGAGAACTACAGACCGTGAAGAACTCAGATCACGTCATTCGGCACCAAAAATACATACACACTTCTGAGCTACCTAAGCTGCATCACACAGCATAATAAATTAAAATTAACGGTAATAGACTGGATTGGAATTAAAAAGAATAAAAGTGTATAACTAGACATTAAGAAAAGCATCGTCCCTTAATAACATTTTCAAGTCGAAAAGTATACAGGACAGGGTGTCCCGAATTGGTATGGTTTGCAGGGTTTAATGAAAACTAGAGCAGAAAGAAAAAGAGTATTTAAGATATTATGACTTCTTTTTCGTTAAAGTAACGATTGCTCAATTAAATTATTAATAGCTCCCCACATTAGCGAGGTACAGGGCAATTATTAAAAAATATCGAAAACGAGAGGGTTATATAATCTTCTTTATTAAGAAAAATTTTAAAAACTGTATTGGAACTGTTGTTATAGTCTGTTCGCTAATCCCAGTTAGAACTGTCTAGTGAATTTAGTGATTATTTTTTGCGAAGTTAGTTACTTTTTGACAGACTAGAAGTGGCAGGAAATGACTATACAACCAAGCATACGTACTTGTAGCACATAAAAAAACTTAAATAAAATATAACTATTACCGACTTTATTACATATATTTAATAAAATGAACAGCGTGATTAATACAAATATTTACTAGAATATGTTAAATTATAACTGAAATATATTTTTAAATATATACTAAGTACTGCCCAAAATTTTATAGGATGGACCACTATTTGTAATAATTCTTCTTTTTTCAATGAAAGAAGTCTGCAATAAAAGTTTATTTAAGTTGTTAATAGTGTGAGATAGGAATTTTTGTGTTGTAAGCTTTTAGCTATGAATCTGTCAAAATTTGCCCGAGCTGGGCGAATGGACCCTAAATATATTACGGTAGGGTTTAGTGGCGTCGAAGAATTTCATTAGGGGGTCTCACTAAGGACACATAATACTAACTTATATTTTTTATATGGGATACCCTATATATTTTGACATTTTTAATGCTCTTTCACCTGATACGATGTGTTATATATCTATTTTCAGTTGTTGAAGCTATTCTGCAAATTGTTTCTTTGACATCACGTTAAAGATACTTAAAAGTTAAAAACGACACGAAAAAAAAAACACTCTGTAACTTTAACCAATAAAAATATTCTTTAGGATTGAAATCAGGTGAACGTGGAGACCATTCAATTCTACCTCGTCTACCGATCAATCGTCCTGGAAATATCTCTTCTAAATATCCCCGAGCATTTACCCCAAAATGAGCTGGAGCTCCA